TATTGTTTACTTTCAATAATACATGGCCTTCTGAGAAGTGATTCGAACTGACGGAAGCGTTTGAATCAATAGAACAATAACATTAGCGATCCGTTGGCAGGTTGTCTCCGTGTGCAGTGACGCGTAGGCGATGGCCCGCCGTTGCCTGACGGAAGGTGTGTCATACATGAGCGGAGCGATTTAAAGATAATATTTAAAATAATGTTTGTGCACGAAACTGCAGTTGTCTGTTTCCAATTTCTAATGTGGTGGAGCCACACTGCAACGAAGTATGCAGCTCAAATGATTCTACAAGAACAGGAAAGGATGATGATCGCACAGAATATCAGCGTCGTGTAGCAACATAATATTGGTGTGTTCGCGTGATAGGGGGTTAGAACCAGACACCCCTTTTAAGGGTAACGTGGCATTCCATCTTAGTCCTCAGGGGTATCTGCACTTTAATACTTTATTTAGCATAGATGGTAGGTGTTGTAGCTACACAGCATCCACTTATTATAAGGTGCTCGACTGTCACCTTTAATACTATAAAATAACAAACATGACATTTTAAAAAAGTCAGCTTTAAACAAAAAAGCTGGAGATGCGTAGTCATCTCTGAGGACTAGATGACTAGAGGACTAGGATGAATGCCTTACAATCTGTAATTATAAAATCTATTGCCCCTTTGATAGCTTGCGATTGACCGAAAATTTCCGCCATGGTCCAAAATTGGCCACGAGGAGCTTAATTACTTTATTTACCGTTATATTTTCAGATGGTATGTTCCAATGTTAATTTATTAAAACTTCAAATGATATTGCTTTCGAATATTTACTTAAATGGAATATTGTTTAAAACTCGGAATGGAAATATCACAATAACAACATTGTGGGAATGTCCGGAAAGCTCTACATCCGCGTCTCTAAGGACGCAACCTAAATACTCCACATCGGCAACGCGCCATCTAAGGAAAGTTAACAGCGTTATCAAGAACTAAGCCCACGGGCAGTTCCTTCGAGTCGTGCAATTTATTCCGCTAACGTCCACGCAATTTTATCGATACCCACAATATGTTATTTTCAATTTTAATCTAAGTAATCCCACGCAAAATTTGCTTCAAAATAAATGTAGTGTCTTAAAGGCGAACGGCTTATTCATTTCTAAATATCTGGAATAAATAAATATTTTTATAAGGCTGAAGTGAAAAGTGATAAGCTCTCTGACAGTCCACCTGGTGGTAAGTGGCTCCTACAGTCCATAAACACATGCAGCTAATTTTAAACTAAGTCTTGGGTAGTTCGTGAACGATCTAAATGAAAAGAGCACTCCTTTAGGTAAACTATGCGAACTAGTTCGTCCACAATCTCGCTCTTAGTTCTTTATATATTTATTTTTCTGACTTCCGTTCTATTATGGAGCGATGCTGCATGGCCACCGACTGATTTATTTTTACTCATACCGCTCTTACCGCTCTTACCAGAGTTTCTTATGTATGTATTTAGTTTATAGTGAATAGTTAAAGTTTTATTAGTTCAAAATTCAGAACATATAACAAATGCTGCTGACTCGTAATATTATTATGAAAGTGATAGTAAACAATATATAAATACCGTATAGTTCTAATTCGATTTATAAATTATATTCTAAGCTAAGATATTGCTTACGAATCGTCTCGCACGCAGACTCGACGACTTCCAGTCTCGCGAACAAGCCGGTTTATTTTTTATTTTTTATAAGCACACAGTGTACACAATCTCACCTGGTGGTAGGTGGTGATGCAACCTAAGATGATAAATCGCACTGTCTTAGCGTAACAAATGCCTGTTCACTATTGCCTTAAAGACGCCTTGATTGTATTCGGACGTAAAGATAGACGCCGGCAAATTATTACACTCCTTTGCTGTACGCTTTAAATAAGTCGAAGTAAACCGTTTGGTTCCAATGCGTGGAATATCGACAACAAAGAGGTGAAGACCCGCCGACCGCCTGGTCGTCTGATGATGGAAAGGAGAGGGAGGAATTAAAGCGTGCAATTCCTGCGCACACGGTTTCCGAAAAGGCTTCAGTACCATGGACCACATGCATGCATACCCTGCGGCAGATTGTACAGAAGACCGAAGAGTACAATTTACCACTTTGCCTGACGTATGTGGACTATGGAAAAGCCTTTAATTCCATCGAAATTTAAGCGATGCTGCAGTCCCTTTAGCGGTGCCCAGTTGACTGTCGGTATATCGAAGAGTCGAAGTGTTTGTACAGTGGGGCTACGCTGGCTATCAGAACCAGAGTACGAAACCTATCTAACTGCAGAGAGGTGTAAGACAGGGTGATGTAATATCCCCGAAACCGGACTGGAAAGGGTACGGTGTTAACAACAATGGCGAGTACATCACTCACCTTCGATTTGCTGGCGATATAGTCCTTATGGCAGCATCGCTGGAGGACCTAAACACTATGTTCAATGACCTCAATAGTGTCTCCCAACGGATAGGTCTTAAGATGAACATGGACAAAATAAAAGACAAATATAACGTCATACACAAAAAATCGATTCTTCGATTAATCGATCTCAGATCGACATGCCTAGTTAGTAGTAGTTTGGTTGTGGTATGGGGTAGATGCCTAGGCCTAGTTGTTCAGAGACAAGAGTTGTTGAGTTTGGACTCAAACTCCATAATTTCAAAAAAAAATCTAGTCCATTCTAAGCTCCACAAATGTTGATGAGGAATTGGGGTTAAAACTCAAAATTTTCTCTGAATATCAACCTTAGACTCAAATTTGAACATTGAGAAGTTTGAGCTTAAACTCGATATTGTCTCCGAATACCGGATTAAGCCAGAAAGTGAGTAGCTTTTCCAGGCTCTCTCTATATTCTAAAATTGTGTTTAATTCGCTTAATGCATTAAAAAGTAATTTGGATGAAAACTTAAATGAATTAAGAAAATCAAAACTCTAACACAAAACATAAATTAATTATTTTTCATATTATTTAGAAAATCATTATGGAAATAGAAAACTCGTAGAGAGTAGTTGCATTGCTGATTGATAAATACCGCAAATGATTTGCAATTTGTGGTTAATTTCATTCCAGCAAATTGTTTTTACTTTTATTCCACATTGTTACTTCGACTCCACCGAGTCAGTAATTCATTATTGGGGCGATGTATACGCTTTTACAACAAAATCCCAGAAAATATACAAAATTTGTCATACACAAAGTCAAAAATGTTATTAAACTAAGTTTGTATAAAAAGGGTTATTATAATATTAAAGAATTTATGGAGATAATAACCCCTAGGAAGGATGATCGCTACCAAGCTATTTCTAATTTGTTTTGTTTTGTTAATTGTAAACATGATTGTAAGCTATTATTGGAAAAAAAATAGTCTCGCTGCGTTTCTTGCTGGTTCTTCCCAGGACAGAAGTTTTTTTTGCGAACCAGTGGTAAATGAAAGAATTGATCTACATTGAATATATATATATATATATATATATATATATATATATATATATATATATATATATATATATATATATATATATATATATATATATAGAAAAGTTTCTGTTTCTATTATTACAGGTTGTAAGTCATTGGCATCCATCTAACCTGTCATTTCTCATACATACTGAGGAATATTTTTAGGTTAAATAAATAAGACACAGAAAAAAATAACAAAAAAAGCGAACGAAAGTAAAAAACAAAGCGAAACACCAAGATCTCATCTCTGGCAAGTGTTGCTGTTCAGTTGTCTAGAGTTCAAGATTTATTGACGTTTATTATTTATTGTATTAAATTATATTATAGTGTTTATTTGTAATAGTACAAACAGCCTATTAAAGTCCATTGCAGTACGTAGGCTTCCCCCGGTAGATTATATCATAGAAGGAATATGTCATAATAGTTACCACGCATGGCATGCGGATTGGTAACCGCGATTTTTTTTTATTTTTTTAGTTATTATTCGGAAGACACTACTACGAGCTTGGTTCAATTTCCCTCCGCCGCCTCTTACGACACCCACGGGACGATATCGGGTGGATGGATGGTACACCGTACGCGGATGTGGATGTTAAATGTTATAATAGTCACTTAAAAATAACTATAATGATTTTAGTGTTCCCTGTAATATTAAAATATACTGCTTTTGATTTATGTTATTTTAGTCCCTATTAAAGTATACTTTAATAGTATACCAATAATTTCAATTTTACCTTATAATAAGCAAACCGCCTAACAAAATATTCTTGGGTTTTATCAAATAGCTTTTTGAGTTTTGACATAAGATTTAATCTCGTTATGTTCACATGTAGTCTGTTCCACATTACGTTTTAAATATAAGAATAGAAAGATACTGTATGTTTTTTTAAATATTATAGGTATTGCGAATCGTGACAAAAGCTCGGAGATTTGGTGGTGTAGTGGTTAAAAGTGTTTGCCAGTTTGATTCCCACTGGACAACCACAGAACACTGTTACCTTAGCAGGTGAACAAATATATTGCCTATTGTTCCTGGCCTCGGTGTTTTTCCATGCTGCAAATTGTGTGTAAAATGTCTTTTCCAACGTCGTGGTAACGTTTGTATTTCTCTGTACGTGTCCTTATAACATAAATAAAATGGGATGAATAAATAATCTTTGCTTTGCACGTATACCATAATAACTGGTTGCTGGAGGCAAAGGAATGAATAATGAAAGGACGAAAACCTAATGATTTTAATGATTTCGTATATTTACGCGAATACTTGGAATGGAATGAATTGGAATGGAATAAAACTAAGTTTACGGATTTTATCGCATTCAATTTTAACTTTTGTTTAAATTCTCGACGTTTCGGGCACTTTACACCCATGGTCACGGGAAGGATAGAGGTGTTTGACGTCCTGATGTCATAGTTGACGAAAGCTACCTAATACTTTTCAAAGTTTTAAAAGTTTAAGGTAATCGTTCGATTTGCCGTCACAGTCACCAACAGTCCCTAAATTAGCGTTAACAGGAATATCTTCATCTGTCTCCAGGCTCGGTTCCAACAGAAGCAGCTTCAAGAAAGGGAGCTGAAGATCGCTTCGTTGTATGAAGCACAGCAGGCGCGCGCGCTTGACAAGGTCCGGCTCTCGCCCAGCAACGCAAACGCGACCAGCCCGACCTCACAGTCGCATACCCACCATCCAGGGAAGGTAAATAAACATATTCTTTTTCTATAATTTTATAAGTATGCTATATACTATTATGTTTTAATAAAGATTGACTACGGCGTAAAATTCGAATAGGCCATTTATCTAAAAATCTTAAAGATTTAAAAAAACGATAAATTGATAAACTCTATGGTCTTTTATTATCTTTGTTTAAAATAACGCCAAATTAATAGATTTTATCCAGGTGAAGCCCGTGCGGAAATCTAGTTTTTAATAATGTCTCAAGGCAGCAAAAATATTTCTTTAATTATAAAAGATCAAATTGTCAATGTCAGTATTTTTACAAATAATAACCTCGTAAATGCTATATTTGATATACAAAAAGTTAATGATTTCTTTTATTTACGCGAACACTACACATTGATTAAAACTACTTTTACGGATTTTATCGCGTTTAATTTTATTTAAATTATTTTTATTTTCAATTTCCCTTATGGTCTATCAAATTCACAACCTCTACCACACACCACAAATCCTCGCGAAAGAACACGGGTTCCTACCAAGAATGATACGTGAGGCTATTAAAATTAAAAAACATCCTAATTTCAATAAAGAAGGAGGCTGGGTACTACCACCTGCTTGGGACCCTATAATCAATAAAATTAAAACTAAACCCAAGCATACCACTGCAAGACCTCATGACATAGTCAGTTAATTTTGCATAGATCGAATCATAAACAATAAGTACCCGGATGACCGAGCTTTGCTCGGTTTTTTTTTTAAGTTACATTTGGATCCAAATTATATGAATAATATTTTTTGATCTTATTGACATAATATAAGCAACCAATAAGAAAAAACTGAACTGGTTATTTGAATGAAAATCATGAGTGCAATTAGTTTAATTAAAATTTTTCATATTTTTAAAAATTACTAAAAAAAGGGCTCGAAATAATAGATTTTCTCACAAAAGAAGGGAATTTGAAAGAAAAAGGAAAAAACAAAAAGACGGGACGCGAACCACGGAACTCCGATTTCAGGCCCGACCGACATCCCACCTGAGCTATTACGACCGTTGGTAATCTGTCAAAATTTACCTTCTTATGCTGTAGCGGTTTTTTATTGCCTGAAAGTGTTTTCAGGCAATAAAAAAACCGTCCGTATGTCCCGTGTGTCCGTGTAGACATAGGGAAATTTTCTAAAAATAAATCCTAGCTAGATCGATTTATTGCCCCCCGAAACTACCTGGACACTAAATTTTATGAAAATCGTTGGAGCCGTTTCCGAGATTCCGATTATATATATATATATATATATATATATATATATATATATATATATATATATATATATATATATAATATACAGGAATTGCTCGTTTAAAGGTACAGGGTGGGGCAGCATAACTTCCTTTTTTTAAAACCTAATAAAACACATTGTATGAATCGGAAAAATTTTATTTGGTTTTTACAATGTAAGTACATACTTAAAGTTTTGTTTTATTTAGTTTTGAAGATCAAATCAGGTAGATGACGTCCCTTATTCTCTATACATTGAGTATACCGATTTCTGGTGTTTGTCATAACTCTTTGAAGCAGAGCAGGCGTTATGTTGGCAATTTCTTCCTGGATGTTGTTCTTTAAATCTTGTAGGGTCCTTGGACGGTTCACATAAACACGGGATTTCAAAAAATCCCATAGAAAAAAAGTCACAAGGGGACAAATCGGGAGATCGGGCCGGCCACTGCAAATCGCCCCTGATTGAGATAAGGCGTTCTGGGAAGTGTTCTCTCAAAACAGCCATCGATGCTCTTGCAGTGTGTGCCGTTGCACCGTCTTGTTGGAACCAAATGTCTCCCAAGTCCAACGCATTCAGCCGGGGTAAAAAGAATTCCTGTAACATGTTTACATACCGGCCCGAATTCACTGTTACTGTGACTTCATTTTCCTCAAAGAACCAGGGACCAATAATTGCAGCTGAGGAAATTGCACACCACACTGTGACCTTAGGTGAATGCAAAGGCCTTTCATGCAATTCTCGAGGATTGGTGTCAGCCCAGTAGCGCATGTTTTGTTTGTTCACGGATCCACACAAGTGAAAATGTGCTTCATCACTAAAAAAAACAATAGCGTCCTCAGGAACGACATCCAGAAGAATCTCACATGCGTTCCTGCGAGAATCGTAGTCACGTTTTGACAGTTCCTGTACAGTCGCCATCTTGTATGGATGGAAATGTAAGTCTTCATGGAGAATTCTCCGCACAGAACGACTGGAAAGTCCAAGGGCAGATGCATGTTTGCGCGCAGAACGCCGTGGTGATCGCAACATTGAAGCTCTGACTGCCTCAATGTTCTCAGGTGATCTAATGGGCCGAGGGACTCCAGTTCTTCGTTTTGTCACACTTGCAGTTTGTCTAAACGTAGTGACCCCCATAACAATTGATTTTCGGTCTGGAACAGGGGCCAACGGGGCTAAATTAAAGCGATTTCGAAAGGCGCGCTGAGTTGCAATCACAGAACATCCGCGCGAAAAGTAAGCCTCAACAGCAAACGCACGCTCCTCACTGTTCCAACGCATTATGGTGACTGAGCTGTCTCGACTAAACTTTATAGCCCCCCCCTCTCGAACGAGACCACTAGCGCTCCACTACGATGTCACCTGACCGAATGGCGCGCATTACAAATAAGGAAGTTATGCTGCCCCACCCTGTATAATATATTAAATAATAATTAAAAAAGCTGAAGGCACTCCGGGTTTAACAATGACATCGGGACGTCAGTCACCTCAGTTCCCCGTGAGCTGGAAAGCACCCGAAACGGCAGGAATTAAAAATAAAAATAATTAAAATTAAACGCGATAAAATCCGTAAAAGTAGTTTTAATCAATACAAAAAGTTAGAAACTGTATCTTAAAATAACTTAGACTTAAAACAACGTTGACTAAAGACTACTCTAAAGATTTTAAATGTAATTCCTGACGGCTTGTTACCCTAATAGCTCTGTTTTTAGGACAGTGAAAAGTCTACCGCACACAAATACGAACTTAACATATCCTCGAAAGATGGACATCCTCATAATATTTTTCTTCACCTCCGACCTTTAGTTCATCAACGTTCAAAACTGCACTTATCTTGACAATTTGAGTGTTGCCAGATGGAATACCAGTGAGTACACTAAACTTTTTATTTATTTATCCAGGTACGGCAAATGTTCGAGGAGCGCAGAACTAAAGCCGGTATTGATAAGAGCTATCCCCTCCAGCCGATACACAATACAGAGCGGGCGAAGCCAAGGAATCCACTGCCCAATGGGCATTCAAAGACCACCACCAACTCGCGAGTCACCGTCGAAAAGAAGGCGATGAAAACACATGTCACCAGCAGCACGCATAGTGTAAAGAAACAAATTGTAAGTAAATTTCAATAGTAAACAGTACAGTATTGTTTCCCGTGAAAATTACTTCTTTTCATCTTTTGTTACGATTTTCTTGTATGTTTTTAAGCTATTGCATAGCTTCTATCGCGGGCCTTGAGCGCGGGGACCCACAGATTACCTTTGTATAAACTGGACCGAATCCAGAAATTCCGTAACGAAAAAAAACCTCACGCTCCCCACTCCGACGGGCACGGAGGTGTGGCATTGAAAGCCGTGCATCGTCTAACGTCGTTTCAGTTCGGCAGACTTCGGCACTCGGCAGAGTTCGGCACGGTGTTTGTGTGCGTGCGACTAGACGTATGCGTGTACACTAGCTGCTAACTCAATAATAAAAATTCCTGAATAACCTACATGTATTGTAAGATATTAAAAATATTTTAAACAATATTAACTTCTCATTTATTCAATAAGAGAAAAAAATTGTTTTCTTATCGGTCACCACGCTCAAAAAGTGTAACTTGATTTAATATCAAAGACTTAACTGCATAAATAAAATAAATAAATAATTATAATTGCATAAGTTGATAAAAAATGCTATGCAATAGTTTTACCGCGGCAGTCACCGAGTGCCACACGTATTTTTTTTACCTTTTATTTGAATAGAAGTGACCAACGAGCACACAGTCCACCTGATGGTAAGTGGACACTGTGGCCCATAGATTTCTACATCCATTTAAGCTACCAAAGCATTCCATCTTAATACACAAAGGAGACAAGGTACATATTAACTCTATATTAAAGTAAAAGTGTCCTTAGGCCAGTACCCATACGGGAGAGGGAGTGTAAACCGTTCCTAGCACAAGCATCTTTAGCTTAATTGGAGCGAACGGAAAGACTTAACTTCATAGCGTTACTAGAATTATTTGTAAAATACTTGTCATATTCTACTCTAGTAACTCTCCCTATCTCGGTTATTCCGTTTTCACCATATTTCAACTGTTTTTAACGTCAGTTAATCCAATTTCTGTGGAAACAAATCTTTATTTTTTATTTATTTTACTAATTATTACATGATGTATTTCCTCTCTTCCTCTGCAGGTACAAAAAACCGAGAACATAGTGAACGCTGCGGGTGACTTAAACCACAACCACGAATACGATATGAATTCTGTCGCCAAATCGGTGAGTCCTATCGTATTCTGTTTGGCAAATTATATACGTACTAATTCGCTGGATTTTGATGAAATTAGGACTCAAAGGCTAGAATATGACTAAATAGAGACTTGATTTCATCGTAATCTGAAAAGCAGGCCTATTCGCTAAGTTTATATCAAAATCTTAGGTACCTAATGTTGTAGTACATTGCGTATTTTATAAAGCTATCCTATGAGAGCTACAACGCCTATAAATTATACGACGTAATGTACTACAAAATTACTGAATCGTTTTGTTATCAACAAAGTTAGCGAATAACTCTACAGATCCAATACTTTGATCGAAAAAATGGATTTGTTTATGACTTTAATACTATGCTAAGATTAAAATTCTAGGATTATGATCCAAATTCTGTGATATGTACCTACATCGGACAGACATTTAGGCCAATGAAGATTGATAGAATACTACGTATATTTCGACTGACACTAATACTATGTCCAATTTATTGCAAGTTTACAAGTAAATGACATTCATTTACATACACATATGTACGTAAAATTGTTGGCAGTAATGCAAATGGCTAAAGTGCACGCAGTTGCAAATCAAATGTTATTTTTTTAGGCTAAGGTGACAAACGAGCACACAGTCCACCTGATGGTAAGTGGCTGCTGCGGCCCATAGATATCTACATTTATCCTCGATTACGAATCAAAATGCGGATGCGTTGTCACCCGTGAGGGCTAAGAATGCCTCGTTTCCAGTAAAAAGTATCCCCGGTTCTCTTTCATTAAGCAACTATTTTACGCTGGTATTCTGTGAGAGCGTGGTCCTTCCCCGGTCGAGCCGATCCATTCGTGCTACAACTATACTACTAATATAACTGCAGCATAGCTCTACTATATGTACGTAATGCTCCCGTAGATCTTCTCTAAAACATCCACTTGTGCCTTGCAAATAAGTAATTTTCCGTCACAAGCAAAACTGTTAAAGATGAAAGTAGATGAATATAAGAGTGAAGGGAAGATTAAAAAAGATATATGGACTGTGTCAGGGATGATATGCGAAATAAAAGAGTGAGTGAGGAGATGGCGGCTGAACGGCGGATGACGGGACGAATGACGGCGAGATGAGGAGAATGAAAAATGAACATATGCTATGTCGACTCCAGACAACTTGGGATTAGAACAGGAACAAGAGCAAACATAACTATTAAATAACATATTTTTTGCAGAGTCATAACGGCGATGTAAATCCCTCTGACGAAGTAGACAAAGCAGAGAACAACTATTTACTGGAAAATGAGACATTCCCAGAAGCGTTGGCGCCCATACCCACTCCGAGATCCCCGGAGCCTAAAGCAGAGGTGAAAAAAATTGTCCAGAGGTAATTGAATTGAAATATAGCCACGTCGATCTGTTGTTTTTTTAAATATTATTTAATAAAACATACGGATTTTATCACGTGTAATTTTAGCTTATTAATTCCCAGCCTTTCACATGCAGAGAGGGGGGGGACTGAGGAGTTTGAAGTTCTGGTGTCACAGTTAGCATAGGTTACCTTCAGCTTTTGAATATTAATTTCTTTTGTAGCCCGATCTACGCAGAACGAGCTTAGAGTAGTAAAGTAAAGTAAAGTTACAGCCTATATACGTCCCACTGCTGGGCACAGGCCTCCTCTCATTTCTGAGAGGGTTTTAGGGCAAGGAATAGTCCGCCGCGCTGCCCCAATGCGTGTTAGCGGACTTCACATGTCTTCGAAATAATTTTTTTCTTATTTTTCAGACATTCAGGTTTCCTCATGATGTTTTCCTTCACCGACGAGCACGTGGTAAATCAGCACTTAAAATTGCAATTAACAATTTCATTGGTGCCGGCGGGGATCGAACTCGGTTTGCTCGCGTATTGTGAAATTAACAGCGAGCGCTAACCATCTGAGCTACCACGGCTCAGCTTAGAGTACCTTGAAGTTTTACCTACGCTCGACTTGGATTTAATTTTATTAATTATGGGATCCCAAGCAGATGGTAACATCGATTCCTACCAAGGTTGATTTGCGAGGCTATTGAAATTAATAAAACATGGGGTGCGATGAAATCCATAATAATAGTTTTATTCAATGTGTAGTATTCGTGTAAACGTAAAAAATCATTAACTAAATAAAATACCAACCAATGTATACGTACAGGGGTTGATATTTTATTTAGTTACAGTTTACCTCGTATGTCATTTGTGTAAAATGGTGACTGTATGACTTGTCGGTCACTCTATGTAGGGCGATTTTATTTCCTTAGAACCTTTATATTATTGTTTTTCTACATTATTAATCAATTTTATTTAAAAAAGTATGTTTAAAATCCGTCCCTATTACAAATTATTCGTTCAGCTAGTAGCCTTGATTTAAATTTAAAGTCGTCGTCTTTTATAGAACCAGTATTTTGTTTTTCAAATGATTTTCCATCCACTTCGTGCGTGTAACATAGATTATCAGCAACGAAATATTATTTACATAAGATTTCTTACAATGTAAACATTTTCCCTTTTAGGAATCCCATTCAGAAGCGAGCGAGTAGTCCAACCAAATCAAGGTCGCAGCAATCATCAGTTGCTCCAACGAGGCGAGTCCCCAGCGAAAACTCAGTAAGATTTTATTTATTATTTTATTTCTTATTTATTTACTATAGTAAAAGGTTCCATTATCGGTTGCTGCACCTCTTTTGCTCTGAATGTCTGTAGACACTTCGCTACTTAAGGAAGAATTTTTTAATAATTCTATTAAAATAAAAGTGGAAAATAATAAGTATATGAACTTGGGCGATCACTTGCGGTAAGTTGGTCACGACAGTAGCGCGGAACACTTACGGCAGACGCACTGCTGTATACTTAATTCCAAGAATTATAAATAAATTGGATCCTGAGGTTAGGAACTCTATTAATGAAAAAAATTTAAAAAACCAACTAAAGATGTTTCTAGTGAGTTCTTTGGATAGCAAAGATTGAATAGTTTTATGAATAAGTACTTTACGTTTTTTTTTTTCTTTTTTTTTAAGCATAGCGAACTCAAGCACAGCAACTGAACCTCAGTGGTTTGCGCTGTGTTTAATGTGTATTATTAATTGTTGATTTTTGTAGGTAATAAATTTAAAAAAAGTTATATATTTTATTTTATTATTTTACCACGGTAAAAATAAAACCCTCATTCTTCCTGGGAAGAAGTAGCAGGAAACACATTAATAAAACTTAATTATTAAGAAACAGCCGCTCCATTATTATACCGAATAGGATTTCAAAACTCCTTACAACAAACTCGGTTTCTTTTTAATAGACTAGATTAATAATCCTATTAACATTGCTAATATTCCCCTTTACCACTGCAAAGAAAGCATATTTTTGTAATAATCGAGTAGTTCACGTTAGTAGTCGAATTGCGAATATGAACTCACGACTTAACCTATGGCGGTAATTCAAACCAAAAATAACACAAACTGGTGATCGAGTCTCGACTATAGAATACTATAATTACATACATAAACAGTATTCTATGGTCTCGATCCCCTCGCAAGGGTAAGTTTTGTTATTTTTTGCCAAGTTTTGTTGTTGCTACATTTGTACTGCGTACAACACATACGTGCTGCGGACGAATGGATCGACTCGATTGGGGACGGAACACGTGTGCACAGAATACCAACGTGTAACTGTAATAGAAACATAATACTGTGTTTCGTATGGTGTGTAGCGAGAACCATAGAGACTATATTTATTAATAATTTTCATCTTATTCGTTACGAATACCAACGAATTTTCTTAATCGACACGTACCACGTACCATCATTTAGATTTTGCGCTCGTTTGTCACTCATACTTACACAGTTCAGACATAGTTCTGGTCCTTCCCCGGTTGTGCCAACACATTCGTAATGCAGCCATAATACGCGTGGTTCTACTACGTAAGGCCACATCATTTTCTCCGAGCCGAATCCGAATCTGGTAGCCGTGACGATGATGTTAATGATTTAAACAATAATCTACAAGGTTGTCTTTAATATTTATATATATATAAATGACGTGTCACGTTGTTTGTCCGCTGTGGACTTCTAAACTATTTAACCGATTTTAATTTAATTTGCACACCGTGTGCAGTTTGGTCCAACTTGAGAGATAGGATAGTTTTTTTTACCCGTGAGTGAGCCACATTTTTTTTGCGAATTTAAGGATTTTAATAGGACATAACAAAGGGTCATTGAAAAGGGCAGAACAACGTCTGCCTGGCAAGCTAGTATATATATATATATATATATATATATATATATATATATATATATATATATATATATATATATATATATATATACAACATGTAACATAATTAACGCACTTTGAGAAAGTAGTTTGTTCAGAATCGTTTACTGAATTGATTCCTATCATTTTTAATATAGGTAATTCTTTATCCCAAAAATTATTATAACTATGTAAATTACAGTCACACTAAATCTGTACAGTCAAAACAAACTGAAATGGACCGTAACTTAAGGCAATAAGACTTTTGAGAGTGCAGTTTTATTTGTATTATTACTAATTCTGTCATTCAATAAAAATAAAGAAAAATGAACTTTATTTCGAGAACGTTAAAGTCTTTGAGTTCGTGGATTTGTACTGTGACCACAACATTCTTCTGGAATTAGTACAACTAATTTGATAAATAATCAGTGCATAAAAATGTTTAACTAAAAATTCAGTGTATGTATTATGATTATAACATAATATACTAATTGGGGTGTCTGAGGGTGTATATATATATATATATATATATATATATATATATATACATATATATATATATATATATATATATATATATATATATATATATAGATCGGAACGGAATAGATATACTGCCAATGTTAATTTTATTTTAAAATATTAACAGCCCTCAAACATAGGGACCCTTCGAGACTTATCCAAAGTCGAGTTCACGTTACTTTTCATCATTCCTAAAGTCATGTTTGCTAGAGAGGAACCTGTTTGTTGATAAAATAGTAAATAAAACGAATTTCCAAAACCATCATGTAGGAATATGGAATATTTTTAATCATTATCCAGCTTAATATAATCCATTTCTGGACATGGAACTCCCTAAAAGACCGTTAAGTCTTTAATTTCAATTAGCGCTTATGGTACTAGCGTCCATCTGCTGCAAAATGATATGTACCCACCAGACAACCGAAGTCTAAATAACGTTTTTTGAACGACTGATATAAAAGAGGCTAATATATAATATAACAGCACAGTATTTAGCACACGGTGCGCTGCTTGGTTCGAAACGTGCGGTGCGCTCCATACGAAACACAGCAGCTATTTTGCGCTGGTATTCTGTGAGAGCGTGGTCCTTCCCCGGTCGAGCCGACCCCTTCGTGCTAGAACCATAATATATACGGTTATCTATCTATCGGATCTAACGGCTATCACGGTTTGCTCGCATACTAAGAAATTTACAGCTCATGCTTGGCCCCTGATTCCTGTGCTACCACGGCAGTATTATTGCAAATAAAAGAAATAATAAACATCAATAAATCGTGCAAACTCTCCAGATGTTGCAACCATAGTTAATCGATCAGGGACAATGGCCAGAGCAATAGCAAACTCAAGATCGTTTGTTACCATTTCAGCTTATCATAGTTTACAGCTGAACATCCTCCTTAGATTGCCTCATAACGGTGATATTCGCCATTGTTACCATGTTTATAAGGTGTGCAAGATGCTGCTCGCTTATTTCCCTCTGTCGCATCTTGCGACCCCCTCGGGACATAATTGCAACAAATTAAACAACGTCGTAAGTGCCTACGAGCAACATTCGCCAGCACAGACTAAGGCGCTGTCCTATTGCCATCGCTCGCGCGATCATGCGTTGCGTCCGACGACAATGATCGTGCGACCGTGCGTTTGAACATACTCATATCTGCGGAATGTCATATTGAACGTCGTGCGATCATGCGATGCGACGGAAGAAATCGCGCGTGCGGATTCATCGGACGATGAAATCGCATCGCATCATCGTGCGAGCGATGGCAATAGGACAGCGCCTAAAGAGAGTACTCTTGCCGGAGATTGAGACGTCTTGGTACTTCGCCTATTTTTTACTTTATTTATTGTCCTTGGCACATTTTTTCGGTGCCGTTACTAAATATATTACTTTAAAATATTCCTCAATATGAGCACAGAATAAATTAGTATATAAATGAGTATAATAATAGGTTTAATTTCAACGTTCCAAATACCCGTAGGTTTTTATTTTCTACTTCAAATTCTCACAGCAAAAATACATATTTACTCGTATTGTTCATCACATCACATGAAACACTACTTCTACCGCTCGACGCAGTCCTTTCCTAGAGTGCTTCAGATAGTACGAGTATGTATTGCTTGGTACATGTTTTAAAAATCAAATACCAATTGCAGAGTTATTCATTTATTAAAGGAAATGTCCATGTTTTGAAATTTATATACAGATATGCCCTTATTTTGAAAACAATATCATGCGAACTTTTTGTAAACGACGACAGGATATAGATATGTATTAAGTTGGTAAAACTGCTTTAAAAATTTTGTTATCTATAAATAACTGTAAAAAGTAACAATTCAAATGGCGTAGTTAACTGTCAGTGCTGTCAAATATCAAAATTTCTGTAATGCAGTCGTTTAAAAACACTCGGGATACATATATTAAAAAAGATTTATTAAATGATGAAATGTATTGTCCAGGTGCCGGAGATCCCTAAAACGCGGACAGCCATGCAACGAAGCTCTAACACTGTAAGTAATTTATTGTTTCATTATGACATATGTGAACATCGATCTGATCATAAAATTAGTTTCCAACTTACTTCACTGGACTCTCCAGGAAATCCTTCATTGTTTAGGCTACTGTTCTCTGGAATTCCTTACCGGAAGACATGCTAAAAGCTCCAAGCAAATGCTAGTTAAAGAAATTATTTCTTGAACACCTTTTGAAACAAGATATAATTTCATGATATGAATGGTTTCATATTATGTGAGTTATATAATATGGTATGTATGTATATATGATAGGTTACATGTGTATATATTTATGTATATTATATGTATGTTTATGTATAATTGTTTGTATATTTATATAGTTTGAATGAATTGACATAAATAGGTACCTATATAAATATTTTATTTTATTTTTTCCAAAGATCGTATTACAGCAAGTTTACACCTGCCATAATTGCTCAGTTACCACGGCTTAAGTGGCGCCCCTGACGACTAAGATGGAATGCCTCGTTGCCAGTAAACACGTTATTCTGTGAGAGCGTGGTCCTTCCCCGGTCGAGCCGACCTATACGTGGCGTGCTACAATCATAGCTGCAGTGTGGCTCTACAACGTAAAAAATATCAGGTCATCAATTATCACTTAAAACAAAGATATTAGTAACAGTCAACACCAATTATAATAACGTTATAAACAATGTGCCTCGGTCCTTAATGTGCTTGCCAACTTAGACCTTTTTTCACTGGTTGATACGACTGCAGTCTAACGTCATTCCTTGAGGTATTCCCAATTTTGACAATGTATCTTATAGCGGGTTTGGTGAAAGAAATGCACACAGATGAAATCAGTGTTTATTAAAACATTATGTATAATAATATCGTCCTGCGGGGTGTCGTAACAGGCGACAGAGAGAAACAACCCAGGAGATGAGCAGTACTATTTAGTAGTTAATATTTTAAACTTTAGGGTATGTCAGCACTTCAAATTGCAAATAACATTTTCATAGATGCCAGCAAGAATACAACCCGGGTTTTTCGCGAAGGTACACACAACACATCAACACACATATATATATATATTGACTGCCTCGTTGGTCTAGTGGTTGTAGTAGTAGTGCGATTGCTGATCATGAGGCCCTGGGTTCAAATCCCGGGTTGGGCCAAAAAAATCAATTATATTGAGTTTCTGTTTCTGTCAATAAATTCTCAGTAGCTGCCCGGAGTCAGGAAGTTGGCGGTGTCTCACCCCCGTGCCTTGGAAAGCACGTAAAGCCGTTGGTCCTGCGCCTGATCTCTCTCCGGTCGTGTCGGTTACCGTCCCATCGGATTATGAGAGTGAGGGAATAGAGAGTGCACCTGTGCGTTGCACATACACTTGGGCACTATAATCCTGTCCTGTACTCAATCAAATTCGGTCTGGAGGACATTATTTTTTGGCCGGGCTTTTTGGGGGGGGGTTGGGGGGGTTTGTATATATATATATATATATATATATATATATATATATTGGTGTGTTTTGTGTTTTTGTTTTGTGTGTGGGGGGGGCTTTTTTTTGGGGGGGGGGGTTGGGGGGGGGGTTGGGGGTGTGTGTGTGTGTGTGTGTGTGTGTGTGTGTGTGTGTGTGTGTGTGTGTGTGTGTGTGTTGTGTATCGAAATATCACTGACTGACTGACTCATCACGAGCTCTCTAAAACTACACAACCGATTGACTAAAAATTTAGTATAGTTAATCATTTCACAATGTAGGCGCTCACTAAGAACGAATTTCTAGAAAGTTCCATCAAAAAAAATTCGTTGTATTTTAGATGTAGGTTCCGCAATAAAATATTATCGTACGCCCGCGCGAAGCGACTCGCTTAATTTCTTCTGATAATTTTCTCTTTTTTTTTCAGGTCGTTAAGAAAGCACCAGTGGTACGTTTTTAGTTTTTTTTATTTATTTATTAAGTACGAAAAGATACATCATTATCTTTAGGCGACTTCAAAATAGTGAGAAGGATTTCAATCCGTGTATTTTTTTTTCTTCGTCAATTGTGGACCGATATAAATGTTTATTTTCTTAAAGTACGTTATACTTCAGGTGTCGTCCCAAATGAAATTAGGGAAAAAATTGCTTCACCATGGACGGACAAATAGGGTACGAACAGAGACGGATTATCCTTAAGGGGAAATATAATCTCAAATGGCTTAGCAAGATCCTTCGTTATGCCGAAAATATTGCAGCATTAATTTTGAAATAAATATATGGTAAAGTTGAGGATTAATGTTAAGGATTATGTTAGACAAAAACACGATTTCGTAAAATTTTCTCGATAGAAAAAAAATCCAAAGTTACCTCCAAAATAAACAATAAACCGCTGTTATTCATAAAATACTTTAAATAAGATCATGAAACTTTGCATACTAACTGAACTAATTATAAAGCAGTGCTTATGTTATTTGCTTTTTTTAAAATACCATTGTTTTCACTGTAAAAAGAAATTACCTAAACTATCGGCCTTTTGAAGCGTGATTCCTGCCGCACGGTCACTTCGCTTCGGCCTTTGAACGGGGAGGTTGTGTGCCTTACGATCAGAATATACATTAAGCAACAGGACGACGTAAAATTAAAATGGGAAATAACCGTAATAAAAATAAGAAGCGACTGGCTTGGCGTTAAGAAACAGGCATAAATATGATAAACCTAATGAAATAAGTATCTAACGACCTTTCTACTTACAGTATTAGTGATTACAAACATGTCGGTACATAGCATACGACGCGCGGGCAAGTGGGGACGAAATTGGAATTTGAGCTGACTTACTCTATCCCCTTAAGACAAACTGGGACGTGCTTAGGGGCACAAGGTTAAAAACGGGCGCAAGCGGTTGCTTTTAAACGAAACCAATTCGTCTATTTGGTTACAGTCTGGCCACGGGACATTCGCCATAGCGAATATTCGCGAAGTGCGAACGGCGAGGCGTCTAGCGACTTAAATAAAATAAATGCATAGAAATGTATGGAGTATGGAGCGTAATGGTAATTAACCGCTAGAGGGGCGCTGATAAGGTTGCCTGGCCTGAGGCCTGAAGCTATGTCGATATTTAACCCGCCTCTCGGTATGAAGTTTTCAATATAACCATTTAGACGACATTCGAGCCTTTGATATTCGTAAGTCCACTCAAAAGGGTAAAAAATTAAACTTTTAAAAATAAAATTTACGTAAAGGGTTTTGTTATAAATTAATAAACAAAGTTATTATAATATAAAATACACACTCATAATGGGTTGTTTTGTTTAAGACGTCTCAAAGCAACAAAACGCGATCGAACGTATCTATGGCGGCGACATCAGCCTCGTCGAACGGGACCGACGGAGCCCCGTGCGCGATATGCGGCCGGCGCTTCGCCCCCGACCGCCTCGCAAAACACCAGGAGATCTGCAAAAAGTCACATTCCAAGAAACGGAAGCCGTTCGACGTGCTCAAACATCGCCTGGCTGTAAGTACACGCATTAACACAGATCACCCCCTAATAGATACCATGGAATATTTGTTTTGTTTCGATTTCACCAAATTTCGAGTTGCGGGAGACGTGTCAAATGCGCTATGATTGGTTAATTCAAGTTTGAACTTAAAATGCTCGGAACCATAGTGATGGGATAGGGTTGGGACGTTGATTTATAAATTTGGGATTTATTGATTTTTGATAAATAAATAAATTGATGGGTAATCTGTGCACATTAAGTACACACTGCTTCATTAGTTTAATAGTCATAAACGCGACGAGAGATCATAAGGTTCCGAGTCTTCCGAGTTCCGAATCCCGGGTCGAGCCTATAATTCAGTTATTCAGTTTTTCTGTATATAAATTATCAGTAGCAGCCCGGTATGAAGAAGTTGATAGTGTTTCACCCCCTTGCCTTGGAAAGCACATAAAATCGTCAGTCTTGCGCCTGATCTCTCTCTTCCAGTCATGTTTGCTTGCCGTTCAGTCCGATTATGAGAGTGGAGATGGATAGAAAGTGTACCTGTGTCAAGCAATATAATCCTGACCTTCTCAAGTGGCAAGTCTCTGTTAAGACTGGCCTTCGTCAACCTGAAATTTAGTCTGGAAGACATTATCGTCACGTAACACATTATACACTAATGTATCTTTTATAAAATAAGGGTGATAAACGAGCACACAGTCCATCTGATGGCAAGTAGATGCTGAGGCCCATAAACATCTACATTCATATTGTTGCATGAATAAGTCAACTAGCGCCATCTAGTGTCAGGAACGAGAGCGAGGGGAGCTTTGCAGTAAATGACATCACAAATCTTTCGACCGACAGCGCCACCCGAAGAACTAAGTTTCTGGAAAATCTACACTCGAATACTCGTTGCCTGGCGCGCATTTACTTGAATGTTCGGGACGCTTCTTTGCTAATTATATAAATAGGCGCTGCAAGATGCGATCGGGGCAGAGTTGAACTCGGCGACACAAGCGAAGCTTCGGAACGGAATTAAGTGAATTAGTGTGTTTGATTACTAGTGTTTTAAGTTTTAATTTGTTTAAAGTAAATTAAAGTGTTAATTTAGGTAATTTTATCGGCAATTTTTATTGTCACGAACCTCAAGCTCGTAACAATATTTTCATCACAGTCATATGTTGTCGGAGAACCTGAGTGACGATTTGGATATTGAGCGTGGACATAGAGCTCTAGCTATACGTTTTAACATGCTGGCGCGTCGCTTTGCATCGTGTTCTAAGGATGTTAAGATTACTCTGTTTAAAGCCTATATTAGCTTTTAGACCGGACAACTTTGGATAAATTACACCAAAAAATCGTATAACATCCTCAGAGTACTGTATAATGATGCTTTTCATATTTTTTTGAAACATCCGCGGTACTGCAGTGCGTCCACAATGTTCGCAGAGGCTGCCGTCCCAGACTTTTACGCAGTGTTACGTTGTAGAACGGCCAGTTTCTGGGAAACTGTACGTAACTCAACAAATGAATTAGTTAAGGTCGTTGCTCAGGTGTCTCCTGACAATATATTTTATAAACACTGGCAGGGTATGCATCAGACGCTATAGGTGATGAATTTTTTTAAAGTACTATATTTTAACTCATAATAGAGTTTAATTTGTAATTTGTATGTGTATCCATTCTAATCCATTGTCTTTGACGCAAAATGTACTTAACATATGTTGGATGATACCTTAATAAATAAACTTTATTATTATATTATTATTATTATTATAGCAACTCTCAGGCATTAGATGAGCCTTCTACTGACAGGGTGAATAGACAATTAGGTTCAATATAAAATCTCTCTAGTGTCCAATCAGTCGAATTCGCGGGTAAAGAGAAACGTGGAGCATTCAAATGACAGCCTAGCAAATACAGACTCCTCTCGCAGGCCTCGAAATCGACGTTGTCCCACAGCAGAACAAAGTCGCTATGTGGAAGATATTGACTCGGTTAGCAGCCCCAAAAAATTGGAAGAGATTGCCCGTAGAACCATATCATTCTTAGGTAGGCTCATGCATAAGGGACACGATAGTGGACGGCGATTACAGCGACATCGAACAGACAGCAGACAACCCTTGCGAGCTCTAAATCGAATGAGTGAGTCCATATTCAGGAAAAATATCTAAAAAATCGGAAAAAACCGTGCAACAACTGCTCAACGGGCCTGCTAGGTACTGCGAAATTTCCAAATTGAGCAATACTTCACAGAAATGGCCGCTCCTCGAAACAGAGATCAAGTGTGGCCCGATGTCTTTAACCATGATAACCCCACGTGTCTCAGCAAGTTGGAATTGATTAAAGTCTTCGAAAGGAAGGAAGTAGTAAGGAAGTTAAAATCAAAATCTAGTACCTCTCCCAGACCGCATGAATTAACATACGGTGATCTTAGCAAGGCGGACCCGGGAGCCTTTATATTGACAGCACTATTCAATGCAGTGTGGCGACTCGAAGTAGTGCCTGGTTGCTGGAAGGACTGCTTATATTACTGCACAAGAAGGGACCGGAGAGTGATATATCCAATTGGCGACCTATTGCGATGGGGTATAGACACGTGCCACAAACTCTTTGCCGCTATAGTTGCAGACAGAGTCAACACCTGGGCAGTCGCCAACAGAAGATATAGCACTTCGCATAACGGATTTCTTTCGTATGAGGGATGCTATGAGCACAACTTTGTGCTTCAGGAGACCATCGAGCAAGCCAAGTGCGATAAAGGAGAGGTCGTTGTCGCCTGGCTGGACTTGGCCAGCGCATTTAACTCTGTCCTTCACTCGTCTATTCATAGGGCTCTGAAACATCACGGAATGCCAGCGAAAGTAAGAAACTTAATCGATTCGCTCTACTAAGATACGAGAACTAAAGTTCGTACCTTGGAGGGATTCACTGACCTAATCAAGCTGCAGTCCGGGGTGAAACAGGATTGCCCGCTTAGACGTGTTTGTGACGTCGATTGCATCTGTGTCAAGCAATCGACGTCAAAATAAGGAATAAGCGTATTACAACTCTGGCTTACGCCGATGACATCGCAATCCTTGCGGACTCACCAGCAGGATTGAGACTTCTCCTTAATGCAGCTGAGAAGGGCGTTCGATCGGTTGGACTTGTCTTTAATTCCACCAAATGCGCGACAATGCATATGAAGTGTGACTGGAGAGCGCAGTACAAGACACAGTTTTCAACATTCAGGAAGAACCTATAAAATTAATGGACCCGAACGATTACTATGAACATCTCGGAATACCAACGGGCTTTGACATTAGATAGACTCCAACGAGCGCATTGAACAAACTAATCGCGGATGTCGATAATATTGACCAATCCCTACTGGCAACATGGCAGAAATTGGATGCAGTTGGCACTTTTATCCTGTCTCGTTTATACTTCACCATGCAAGGGAGACTTCTTCTTACAGTGCGGGAACGGCGTTGCAGAAATTATTACTCTGTCATTAAGACAAAATTTATCTAAAAAAATGCGTTTACAGCTGGTTCAATACTATGCCAGTAAGCTCCATGCCATAAATACAACTGGTTTCTTAAATCATTTTCTCAGAAGTGGAAGGAATACTCGCTTCTGTTACTGAAGATTAGTTCACCGTACGCGGCTTGGTGTCTTGCCACTGCATGCCATAAAAAAAGAACAAGCAGATATCGGCAAAGGGTGTAGAAGATGTGGTCGGGAGCAGGAGACCATCCCGCACGTATTGAACCATTGTGGGGTACACTCTGCAGTGCGACAGCTAAGGCACAATAATATTCAAAGCAGACTCGTTAAAGCACTGAGATGCTCGGAACTCATCAGTACTAACCAAACTGTTAAGGGAACACATGGAACAGCAGCGTTGCTGAGACCTGATATTGTGGTTAGAGATGAGATTAATAAAGAAATTAAAATTGTGGATGTGACTGATCAGTTCGAAAACAGATCGGCAGCGCTCAGGGCTGTTAGAATGTAAAAGATCACAAAGTATATTTGCCTAGCAGAACAACTTATGGCACGAGGATATCGGATCAGAGTCAACGCATTTATAGTGGGTTCCTTAGGTGGGATGGGATGAAAACAACCAAAGAGTTTTGGATTTCTTTAACATTAGTCGCTTCTACGCAGGCTTGATGAGAAAAGGTTTATGATAAGTGACACAATTAGATGGTCTCGGGACATATATGTGGAGCACGTAAGTGGGATACGACAGTACACAGTGCAGCATGACTTGGATCGATCAATCAATGTTAGGTCGGAACATAATGTCGTTAAGTTATAATCTTATGTTCCTATAGGTTAAACTACGTTTATGCTCGTTTTGGCTGAGCCTTTTTTTGACTTATTTCATAATTTTAAAAAATTTCTATCATATTATTTATTAATACAATAGTAATTAACTAATTTATTATGTTTTATTAAAAATTCATTAATTTATTCAGTAATTTATTAATTCATGTTTTAATTAATTTAGTCATTAATTTGGATGATATAATTATTTTTTTCCCTTGTCTATAATAATCCTCTCTTACTTCCATCAATTAAATTTAATTATTCTTAATTAAGGACAAACATGATTATATGACTAAGAGCTTTTGTTCATTTAAAGTTAACAAAATTTAAATACAATATAAATACAAGCAAACATTACAGGATTCTATCAGCTTTGACACCCCCTCCATTGGTGGGCAGTATTTTCGATTAAAAAATCTGTTTTTTTGAAACTTAATATCTGAAAGTTCCCGCCCTGCGGGACCAGTATATTAAACTGATTTTTGAAAACCGACGGGATGTTCGGGGCTCGCTCCACTCCCGTCACGTGTCGGCCCGGCATTGCAGTGCCGCCGGGATCGGCCCACATATAAGAAACATAAAACAGAACGTAATGAAAAAGGTCGGAGTAGTGCTAAATCAGGAAATTATAAAAAATGAAAATGACTGGTGCGAGTTATTCCATCATAGTCCTCACGGGTGACAACGCATCTGCATTTTGATTCTCAATCGAGGAGAGAGATATAGATGTCTATGGGCGCAGCATCCACTTATTCTAAAAAACTACCGCGGAACGAAGAGTTAATTGATTCTCTTAAGTCACCATCACACGACAGAAAGCTTCAAAAAGTACTAGGTGTTGTTAATTTGGGAAAAATATTTTTTTATTAGGGAACAGAAGCAGAGCCTTTTATCGGGAAACTGCGCAAGAGCACGACGCAGAGTTCCAACAAAGTGGGCAAGCAGCTGAACAGCACTTGGCGACAGAAGCACGAAGAGTTCATACAAGCTATCCGAGCCGCGAAACAAGTGCAGGCGCATCTAAAAGCTGGTGGTGAGTTCTACATGTTTTTTTTAAATAGACGAGACGCTGAACGAGCATGCGGCTCACCTGATAGTAAATGTCGACCGCCGTCCATGAAGAACTGCAACACCACGGGAATTGCAGGTGCGTTGCCGGCCTATTAAAAAGGAGCAGCAATAAGCTCATTTTTTGAAGGTCCCTAAGACGTATTGTATTGTATAATGATTTAGCACCTGGGAACTTTCCTCGGCGTTAGATTTTTTGAAATCTTCTCAGGGATGACAGCTATCCAGATAAATTAAAACAACATAATCTGACTACAAAATGTCATCCCAATCGTTTGAGCCGTTTACGAGAAACTATATAGATGTATATACGTATATATACCATATAGTATAAATATACCGGGTGGTACCGGATTTTCTTTCCTTCCCTCTCTACTCTTTAAGGGAAGATTTGCCATAATCACGCTGGGCAGGTATTCCATTATCATTATCAGTACGGGATGCAATGTAAAGTCATCCATCAGAGCCCACAAGATATATTATAGTTGGGATTATAATAAACAAGATATATATTCCGAGTTCCAAGCATTGATTACAGTCTACTCTTACGACATTTACGGGATAAAGTGGTATGATCTTACATCACAATATGGCGTACAGTAAGTACAACGGATTGATTATCAGATTACAACCTACCTATACCATCATCATCATCATTATATCGTATTAAAGTCCACTGATGAACATAGGCTTCCCCAAATATCAGCAGCGTCTTCTTACTGAAAAATAGAAAATAAACCTGCCAAGCGTGGCAGCTATGACAAATATTCCCCTTATAACACAATCTTTGGGAAGGCCTACAACCTTTATACGTCTCACAAATGGCCATAGCCCCCTTTCCATCTCTGTGAGGGTTTTTTAATCTGTTAGTCTTTTTTTTATAGGATAGGACGACAAACGAGCACACAGTCCACTTGATGGTAAGTGGTTGCTGTGGCCCATATACATCTACATCTATCCTCGATTACGAATCAAAATGCAAATGCGTTGTCATCCGTGAGGACTAATATGGAATGCCTCGTTTCCAGTAAAAAGGGTCCCCGGTTCTTTACACTCACCATACGAAACACAGCAGCATTAAGCTACTATTTCACGCTGGTATTCTGTGAGAGCGTGGTCCCTCCCCGGTCGAGCCGACCCATTCGTGCTACAACTATACTACTAATATAACTGCAGCATGGCTCTACCACGTAATAAAGTCAAATATAGTCTGCTGCGCTACTCCAGAAATTTTAGGCTCGGTTTATTTCGCAGCCATGGAAGTTTTCTCACAAAGTTTTCATTTACCGCCCAGCACTTAATTGAACAGTTAACAATTTTTCGACACGGATATAACTGGAATTATCGTATACTAAGCAATTTACGGCGGGTGCTTATCCTCTGAGCAACTGCACTGGCACTGGCACTCTCGTATCAGATATATAAATATTAAATATTGTTCTCCAGGCAAACTCAGCGACCTGCCCCCTCCTCCACCATCGGAAAACCCAGACTACGTGCAATGTCCACACTGTAACCGACGTTTCAACCAGGCGGCCGCCGAACGCCATATACCCAAATGCGCCAACTTCCAATTCAACAAACCCAAGCCAAACACAAATAAACGACGGTAACCTGTTAATAAGTTCAGTATGGCGTTTGGTAATGGCCAATAGTCAAAAGTGGCCGCTTACCGACCTGCTACAAATCTTGTGTGATAACCAGTGGCCACAACTGATCAGTATGGCCCATGGCCAACGGTTGTCCCTGTATAGGATAACATTCATTATCGCGGTCACCTATGATTAAAAATTTTTTGCATCAATCAATTAATAGGCAAGATGGCCATTGCATGTCAATTTTAGTCATTGCATATTAACTGTTAGGGAAAATGGCCATGTATTATTTGTAATTATTAGAAATGTCTTATGACATTACATTGTTTTAATATTATATAACGTGTACGAATTGCCAACTTTCATAATATTAGTTTAAGACATGAAATTATAACTGTTTTTTAATAATTATAAATACGGCCATGGCCAAATAAGCAATACCGACGGAAACTGACGAATTGTCTATGATAGATGAAGTTTAACCCCATTGACAATTCGACAGTTTCCGTTTCGGATATGTTATAATAGTTTAAACTATTTTCGATATAGTATAATGGAGCCTATAGTGGTCCGACTTAAATTTGTGAACAGAACTTGGTACAGCAGTCGACTATGCAAGCTAAAACGGAAACTTTATTGCTTTCATTAACTGAATATAATATATTGTTACCAGTATTTTTATGTTTTGCTCTAAAATCAAAATATTTTGTTAAAATGTCCCATTTTTTCAAATAAAGGCTTGAAAAATCGTTCCTAAATAGGATGTATGACGCAGATGTCGTCAGTTATCGATGTTTGTTTATTACAAATTATGGTTGTAATTATAAGGGTGACCAGCAGAAAAAAACAGTAATTTTAACAAATAACCGCAAAACTATAAAATTAATTTTCGTAATATAAACAATACTTAGCTGTATTTGGGAATCCTTTTAAACATAACTACTAACACTAGTAGTAGAAAATGTTCCTAACGACGTTAAAACTAAGCTTGGTTTAGTGAACATAATATTAACAGTGGCATAGCTACGAGTCACTGCCGCCCGGGGCCGTTAGAGCCAAAAAGAAGTCCTACCACCTAAATGTACCCAATTCCTGCTCCGATCTCGACGTATAATTATAAGGCGGCGGTTTCCTTACCTGTTTGTTTGTGGTGGACACTACAATTAATATTAATAAATTCAGTACCACTTCGAAATAACAACTCACATTGTTACTTCTATGATACCTATAGATATCTAACGAAATTCAAATTAAATGCATTTCAATTCTTCATTATTAGAAATTTATACTTTGCTAAAATATTACATGCGTAATACATTCCACAAAACTGACTTAATATTTTTATGTAGGTACTTATGTGTCAATATTCTAGAAATTATGTTATGGTATCTGATAACTCATAATCAAATGTAAGTAAGCTAAAACAGATCTGATTCAAGGATTACGACGATTCATGCATATTTGTACATGCTTTTTAAAATGTTTAACATTGCGAATGTAATTCGTTTTTGAGAATATAATTATATTAATTTTTCTCGTGGTGTTTTATTTTTTTTTACTTAGCACAATTTATGGTGACGTTGCAGTACTTTTTTGAACCTCGTATAAATTTCATTCATTTGAGATGGGCCGAATATTCGTATTCGGCCGAATATTTGGCTAAATCAACGAACATTCATTTAAGTGGTACTCAGTCCACTGTATTGAAAGGTACGAATTGAGTGATCCCATGCCTAATAATTTTACTATAATTTTACTGTTGAAGGTATAATTTATTTATGGGCTATAATTAAATAATTTATCTATTTGAAATGTTATGTTTTTGAGGCACTGTAGATTTATTTGCAAATATAGCAAATAGAAAGCTTGATAAAATATGATGAATGGACATTCATTCATTACGGCTTATCAAAGTTCGGCTGAATCTAAGTTCAGTTTCTTCTTAAGACTTCATAGATTGGCTTCATGAAGGGGAGATTCACCATAGTCGCCATGTTGGCTACCACAGCCTTTTTATTTCTAGTTGTTATTATTAGGATAAACACACTGCTGCCATCTGCTTTGTTACCTTCTGTAGCAGTGATATCCACGCACGATGAGATAGTGGGATATTCCTACACTGCCACTGCACAGTATGCCTATAATATCTATAAATCTACTGAAATGTAATTATTGAGCAAACACAAAATCATTTTATAAAAATTCAACATGTGATGTTCAATTTTTATAAAATTCAAACAGTTCAAGCGCTTGTGGTTGTGCTCGTCCCGGGCCGGCTACGGCTAGTACCTAATACCCGCCGAGACATCAACGAAGTTGTTCTAATATCTAATAAATGTTCTAATGTTCTAATTCGGCCCACTTAGGGCCTGCGGTGCCACATACGGCTCGGCATGGCACGGCGGGGTGTGTCAAAGGTTTTTTTTTTCGTAGAAAATACAATATCAACGTTATTTTAATGATCTTAGCGATGACATTATTTCAACATGTATAGACCGAAACGTCTCGTATTCGCATTTCATCGTGTATCTTATATCATAATCTTCACGTTATTTTTGCTTTATGTTGTTAAAGTAATGTGATGCAGTTTGCATTTTGCAATCATATCCTAGATGGCCCCAACCATTACATCAGATTTGATAGGCCACAAATCCTCGCGAAAGAACATCGATTCCTACCAAGGATGATACGTGAGGCTATTGAAATTAAAAAAAAACATCCTAATTTCAATAGAGCTGGGTACTGCCACCTGCTTGGGACCCTATAATTAATAAAATTAAAACTAAACCCAAGCATATCACTGCGAGACTTCAAAACACAGTTAGTTCATTCTGCGTAGATCGGACCAAATACAATAATTAAAAAGCTGAAGGTACTCCGGGTTAACTTTGACATCGGGACGTCAGTCACATCAGTCCCCCGTGACCATGGGTGCTGGAAAGCACCCGAAACGTCGGGTATTAAAAATAACGTAAATAAACGCGATAAAATCCGTAAAAGTAGTTTGTGTCAATGTATAGTGTTCGCGTAAATATAAGAAATCATAATGTGATGCTAATTGAAACAAGGTTGAATGTAGCCCGTTGCGGCGGCGATCTCAGCGACTTGCGCGAGCGCCCGATACACGAGCGCGTTTGACATTTTTGGGATGCCGCGGGATGCCACAGGATTCTTCGGCATGCCGAAGTGTGCCTTGCCATTGCCACGCCGTGCCGTCTGTCAGCACAGGCCTTTAGAGCTTTTCACTCTACAGTTGCAAGGAACGTGGTTTATGCTAACACGCTTTACTACAAGATGACCTTAAAGAAAAATGGTCTCTGACTTTAGAATTTAAAAAAAAACACTCAAAAATAGATTGGATTTAAGACATTTAAAAATATCAACTGTGCTATATATCTTTTTCATTATCACGAATTATTTTAACTTTATAAAACTGAAAAGATCAAAGAACTTACATTCCACCTGATGTTAAGGGTTCTATCAGACAGGAAGCGGTCACGCGTTCAAACGTTCCGCGTTCGCGTTCTTCGTGTTGCATTACGTTACATAGAACTTCGATCAACAATACCAACTAGATGTCGGGTCGGCGCAAGAAATCCATCTCAGTAAATAAGAGCGCACATGAGACGTCAGCTCTTGCACGTGAGAGTGTAGCTCGCAAGGCAATAACGGGAAAAAGAACTTTATTTGTTATAAATTAAGGTTGATTTCGCACTAAATGTTATTTAATTTTTGTCTTTTCATAGTTTATATTCATGCGGACAGTATTTAGCTATGATTTTGTACGTAACCCGTTTATCTAGTTGGCTTTCAGTTTTTAGTTGAAGACAGCAGGCATTCTGACCGCGTCGGTCAACCAGAACATAGGCGTTCGTGATTGGTGAGCAACTGAGCGCTCGAACGCAAAACGCGAACGCGGAACGCTTGAACGCGTGACCGCTTCCTGTCTGATAGAACCCTTAGTGTCCACTGCCGTCGACGGACACTAACACCTCCAACATCAAACAAAGAAAATTTGAAAACGTTCCAGGTTTACCCCAGTGCCGAAAGGGGATAGGAGTATCAACGTATCAGAATTTAGACCAATTGCTGTCTTATCAGTGTTTGCCAAAATATTTGAGTCTATTCTCAGCAAACATATTAATAATCAGGTTGGTCATTTGTTACACAATAGCCAACACGGTTTCCGTAAGGCTCGTTCTACTACTACGAACTTAATTGCGCATGTAGACTACATGTATAAGGAGATGAACAGTTACAAACAAGTAGACACGGCATACTTCGATTTCAGAAAGGCCTTCGACCTCGTCGACAGCGACAAACTGTTAGAAAAGTTGGCATTTATTGGCTTCACCCCCAAACTCATTCGGTTTTTCGCATACTTTCTGAATAATCGATGTCAGTATGTGCGGGTGAACGGGTATAATTCCAGCGTAGTTCACGAGATCAGGCGTTAGTCAGGGCAGTACGTTGGGTCCAACCCTCTTCCTGCTCTTTATAAATGATCTGCCGAACACCGTTTGTTTTTCTGAATGTCTCCTCTTTGCTGATGACTTAAAATTTAGTCTGGGTATTGAATCTGAATCAGATACCATAAATTTACAAAGAGACATTGATGCGATGTTGAGTTGGAGCCAAGAAAATCTATTACCTTTAAATAATAATAAATGCAAAGTAATTACTTTCACTCGAAAACCTAGACCAATTGTAAATTTATATAGCTTACTCGACGCTCCTCTGGAAAGAGTAAATAATATTCGAGACTTAGGGCTGTTATTAGATTCCAAATGACAAGTATCAGTAAGAACGCACATAGAATGTTAGGTTTTGTTATTAGGACTGGAACACAATTTGACAATGAAGTAGTTGCTAAAATAATATTTAACGCATTTGTTCGTAGCAAGCTGGAATATGGTGCCGTTGTCTGGGACCCATTTGAGGACCCAAGTATGTCCTTATGGTCGAGAAGATACAGCGTAAGTTTGCCCGATGGTGCTTTCGGAAGCAATACGGGTACT